GTCTCTCCAGCTGCAGGATGCAGTGTAACTGCATTTAATGCCCCCCTCACCACCCTTCTTGTCTGAGAAAACATAGTGGACAGAGCCTTTTTCTACCAAAGAGGCCTTCCTTTTCTCTACTTTCAAAGTCTGGGGCAAGGACATGAAGAGGATTGATGTGTTGCCTTCCAGGGGAGTTCCTTGCCAAACCTCACCACCTGTAGATAAATAGGCCCTTTATTTTTCAGTGTTTCTTTTCTCCTGTGGGGCTACCTAAGCACCCCCAGTAACTTTTTCTTCTGCTTTTCTAAAAAGTCTTGTCATTTGTTTCCTATCTGCCCTGGGGCTTTTATGGGCCTTTACCACTGTTTTCTCTCATTGTAAACATCACTGAATCTCACTCTGGAAAATGTATCGAGATAAAGTATAATAAAAAAATTCCCATCCACAGTCACATTATCCCAGCGGTAAACATCAATTATATTTTGTAATGACTTCGTTAGAGGATTCTTTCATCTACAGAAATGCATTTTAGGCCAGGTATAGTGGTACACACTTGTAACCCCAATATTCTGGGAGACTGAAGCTGGAGCCAGACTAGGGCAACTTGACAGCAAAATTAAAAACCGAGAAGACAATGTAGTTCAGTGTAAAGACTGTTGATTACATCCACAGTTGAATGCATGAACGAATGAATGAATTTTAGATGTGAGACCCCTAATATCACCATTGCTTTAGCCTCTTTTTATTTATTTGTTTGTTTATTTTTTGGTACCGGGGATTGAACTCAGGTCCTTGTGTTTGTGAGGCAGGTAGTGGAACCACTGAGCTAAATCCCCGGCCCTAGCCTCTTTTTTAAAACTTATTTTACTGAATTATCATATGAAATCCTATTAGTGTATTAATAACCACTCAGATACCATGAATTCCTTTGTCTTATAATCATTTGAAAGACACATGGAAAATGTTCTAGAAATGTTGAAAATTTATTTACTGACTGAAGTGGAAGTAGAAATAAAGCCTGAGCCCCATCTCAATGACAGTAATATAAACCAATATTTGCAATAACAGGGGCTTTGTTTTGTTTTGCCATTTTTTTTTTTTTTTGGTACCAGAGGTCAAACTCCAGTCCTTGCACTTGCACTTAGGAGGCAGGTGGTGAGACCACTGAGCTAAATCCCTGGCCCTGGTTTGCTTTGTTTTTAATCAGCGTTGTGTTCTACAGCGCATCAAAAAACAAAACAAAACAAAACAAAACAAAACCAAACACACACACAAAAAAAACTACTCACCACTGCCTGCCTTGCAAGTTCAAAGTCCTGGAGTTTCATCCCCAGTACTAAAAAAGAAAAAAAAAACACTGCCCAGCTAGGTGTGGTGGCGCAGGCCTGTAATCCTAGCACTTGGAGACTGAGGCATGAAGCTCAATGTGAGTTTGAGGCCAGCCTGGACTACATTGCAAGACTATGTCTCAAAAGAAAAACAACACTGCCCAGCAGTGTGTTCTCATATAGGTACTTGTTGAATACATGAACAAGGGCCTGATTTTTTCTACATAATTCATTTTGTCAGTATAATCTGTTAATACATAATACTCTTATGGTACTATTTCAAAATTTCCTATCAAACTTTTTTCCCCATTTAGAACTTTCTTGTGAATAACAAAACTTTTATTGACTATTATTTATATTCTTCCCCATGTATCTATTATTTCATCCTTATATTGGGAGTTGGAAGCCATCATGTAATCCAAATAGGAATATAGAATCTGATAGACAAGGGACATTTGTGAGCACTGACGTGTCACAAGACTCCTAATAACTGGTGTCACCTCTCATTGCCACAGTTGCCACAAGTATAATTAAGGATGTAAAACTGTCTGCTTCTAGGGGTGCTGGCCTGCATAAATTGCTCATCAGGTTCTTGGTTTGTGTCTTTGCAATTTTATATCCTATTAATATTGTGTTTTCCTCTAGTATTTGTTATGACATGTTAGATTTTTTTTGTAGTTAGATTTTAAGCCAACTTACTGAGATTGATAAAATATACTCTAAATTTAATTATAACTGACATCCATGTTTTTAGCTTCCCATTTATGTCAACTTGTAGAGAAAGTATAGTAATACTTTCTAGGAAAACTCAGTCAAACCAAGCCCAAATTCAGCTAAGCCCAAATTGTTTACACCCTCTGTGAAAATTGCACAAGGCCTAATCCCCATTTGTATTGCCACTAAGATTCTTTGAAAAGGCTTGCTTTTAATTAATGCCCTCACCAGCACTTACTAATTAAAAATAATTATATTAGCTACATGGTATATTGGTTGCATAGGTACATGAGGCCTTAGGTTCAATACCACTACTACAAATATATTTGAATGGATGTGTGTTTAGAAATTTTATGCCGTCTGTCACATAATTGCAAACACATTTCTTATTTTGTAGTTGTGGGTTTCATGTGCATAATTATATTTTTACATAGACAAATCTTTTTTTTTCCAGAATATCCCACCTTTGGATGGTTTATCTCTCCTGTTATATTTACTCCTATTTTTCTTTTGTGTTACATGTTTTTTAAGTAAAATCCTCACTAAAATACCTTGAAGAATATAACAAATGAAAATTTGCTATAACTGGATAGTTAAAACCCCCTTTTCCCCCAAACAACTTAACATGGTCTCAAATTTTCTACTACCTACAAGGCTAATCCAAACAGGACTCATATATATAAATATTTTTTCTGTGCCTATAAACGTGGCAATTTAGCACACTTAGGTATACTCCTGTAATCTCGTTGCCCAAGTTTTCCATATTTTCTTGAAATTCAAATTTCCATATAGTTTAGTACATGTATCTTCTACAGTATGTTTAACAATTTTTATAGTTTTTAAAACATAAAAATGATAGTATTAGAAAATATGCCTAAGGAACAGTCCTACAAGTTGATAACTTGTAGCCAAATTCCTTTTTACCAAGAATGTATGCCAGTGTCTATATTTTTCTGTTTTAAGATTGTTCGTTTTTTTAAATGTTGGTAAATTGTGAGTTGAAAAATACGTTGGTTTTGTTTTAAAGTAACCTTTTAAATTTGTTTTTACATATTTAATATCTATATATCCTTTTTTATATCATCCTTAGAGAAATGAATTTATAAGATTTTAAAGAGAATGAAATTTTTAGTGAAATTAGTACTTTGGTGCTATGGGCATGGCTGAGTTGTAGAGCAGTTGCCTAGCATGCTGGAGGCCCTTGGTTAGATCTTAAGCACCCCAAGAAAGAAAAGGGGGAAAAATACAGGAAAAAAGGAGAATGAGATTACAAGTTAAACGAAGCTAAGTAGAGTGAAGTCAGTTCACTAAATCCATGACTTTTACTTTTTTGTTCTCTCTGCTCCCCGAGAAGCTGACTCACTATTTAAAGTATACCATTCAATGGACTTTAGTTTATTAACAGATATATGCAAAAAACAAAAAATAAAAACATTGCAATTTACTGCGCGAGACACAGCAAACAGTCCATTGAAAGTAGAAGTTGGCTCAAATTTATGTCCCAGAATGTATATCAATCAGCTCTTGGGCATGTTTTTTAAGTGTGTTAAGTTTCTCTTTTGGATTTTATGAAAACTTATGCTTAGACTTTTTAAAAAGCCAAATAACTACCAGAAAAGTTATGATGAAAAGTAAAATTATCCCTTGTTTCATGCACATCCTGAGAGATGTGCTGCTCTTCCTTTCTCTTCTTGCTACTTCTGGATATTAATCTGTCTCTAAATGGGGAGTTTATATTGCTGTCATGAAATACCTTGTTAGATAACATCTGTTGACTTCTAACAACTAAGAATTTCAACTACTCACATATTTTACACATACAAGTCGTCTGCTAGAGTTCTTTGTTGCAGCCATCCAAAACCGGGGAATCTGTGTAGATCACTGGTACAGTAGGCCAGTGAAAGGAGCCGGCCTGGAATTTGCCAGTCTTACATATTGCACAACTTAATCTTTTTTATTGCAGGGACTGAGGGAACTGATGGTATGGTTCTGAGGTCTGCACTAGGAACCCTTTCTTACCTGGTCAGCACCATTTACCAGGTGGCTGCACCTCAGCTGGCCTTAGTGCTCGCTGGTGTCCTCTTTATCCTTCCTGTGCCTCCGCTCCAGTTTTTGTCTCCAAGTTCCGTTCCTTGCACGAGATGGATTTTCCTTTGTTGATCGTGGCCCTCGATTCTCTAACCTTTAGATGGCAGTATTGCGTTACCAAATGATCTTAGCGCCTCTCACCCCGCCCTTTGTTGCTGAAAAAAAAATGCAGTACTGTACCTTGAGTTTTTATCTACTGGAGAAGCTTTTTTCTTTCACTGTCTGGGGCAAAATAGTGCTGGGTTTCTAAGAAGCAGCCTTCTGGGGTTGGAGGGGTGTCCCTCTCTAAAACTCACCATCCATGAACACACACTCTTTGCTTTTTAGAGTGCCATTTCTCCTGCGGGCTGCCCAGGCACCCTAGCAATTTGTATTTTTTCTTTTCTTTTTTTTGGTACAGGGGATCGAACTCTGGTCCTTGCACTTGCAAGGCAGGCTGCAGAATCACTGAGCTAACCTCTGGCCCCTCTATTTTTTTTTTTCTTTTCTGAAAGATCTTGTCATTCCTTTCCCTACTTGTCCTGGGCTTTATAGGTCTTCCTCTTTATTGTTCTTTCCTTATAGATGTAATTGAACCTCATTCTGTTCAGGGAGTTAGCCCAGTGGTTCCTCTGCCTGCCTTGCAAACACAAGGTCCCAAGTTCAATCCCCAGAACAACAGCAACAACAACAACAAAAACCATTATCAAGAGCTTTTAGGTAAGAAAAAAAAAGGATATAAATAAATAAATATTTATATGTTTATATTATATATTATAATATATATTATTTATTATATATTATTATTTCCTTAGAGAGTTTTTCATCTATAAAAATGGAGAGAAAATGAGATTCACAGTTTAACCATTGCTTTAGCTTTTTGTTTTTGTTTTTGTTTTTGTTTTACAGGATCTGTAAGTTCAGGCTTCTGGCTGATCTTGAACTCATAGGAATCTTTCTGCCTCTGCCTCCAGAGTGCTGGGATTACAAGCGTGCACCACCATGTTCGAGTAGCATCTTTAAGGATAACAGGTACAGTATTTACAATTATCATGCAGAATCTCATTAACGTACAATTAATATGTATTAAAAAAACCACTCAGCCTTAATTCCTTAGTTTTAATAATCATTTTAAAATCCTGAGCCGGGAGGTGGCTCACACCTGTAATCTCAGCATTCAGGAGGCTGAAGCAGGAAGATCTCCATGAGTTCAAGGCCAGCCTGAACTACATAACAAGACCCTATCTCAAAATAAAATTTAAAAATCTAAACTCCTTTTTAGAAATACGGAAAACATTTTTGCTTATTTATTTGAGGTAAAGTCTTGCTATATAGACCAGGCTGCCCTCAAACTCAGGCAGTCCTCCTGCTTCAGCCTCTCCAGTGCTGGTATTATAGGCATATACCACTGTGCCCAGTGGAAAAATTACATAAATTTTTTGGGGATGGGTACCTGGAATCAAACTCCAGGGCTTCAAGCTTGCCAGGCAGGCAGTGCAAAGCTAAGCTACATCCCCAGCCCTGGTAAACTTATTTAATAAGAGATATAGAAAGCAGAAATACCCTTTGGACTGTATCTCAATGATTGTGTGAGAGTTTTGTTTCAAAAGGTCAAGCAGTTTATGCGCCATCTGAATACATGACTATTGATGAACATCTTCAGCATTTATTGGTTGCTGTAACTTTAGGCAGTATGTTAGGGTGTTGTGGCAAAACCAAGAGAAAGAAGGAAGTGACTCAACTCCTTCATTTCTAACTGTATTAAAACCTCACAAAACTGAAGCCTGAGCTGATAACTTTTTACAACAAAACCAAAGGCAGAGTAGATGTTGATGAGTTAGGCCAAAACTATGTTGTCACTTAAAACACAAAGTATTAGACAATAGTTGTGTTTTACTCAATCCTAAATACGTATGGTATAAATAGTTTGATGGTATACAAAGAAAATAACAAGTGCAAAATACCACAGAGAAATATTCTTAGAAGATTGGAATTCAAACTTAGATAATTTACAGCAGAGGGAAAACAAACGTTTCTGCCCAGGGAACTGTGCAAAATAATGTGGAGCATGGGGTGAGCTGACAGGTGATCAGGCAGGTACAATAACGCAAAGACTTACAATGACAATAGGAAGACCAAAACAATGTTAACTATGCTCTACAAAAAAGGACAGGAAAATAAAACATAAGCAATACTTGTGCATGGAACATGCAGTTGTCATGTTTGAAGAGTGCTTTGGGTGTGACAATTGAGGCAAAGATTTTTTTTATTAAAGAGTTCTATTGGTATTTTCTTTTTCTTTTCTTTTCTTTTTTTTTGTACAGGGATCGAACTTAGGTCCTTGTGCTTGAGAGGCAGTCTCCAGAACCACTGAGCCAAATCCCCAGTCCATCTATTGGTATTTTCATTGTACTTCATATAGGAATTTATTTCTTGGCTTTTTATTCTTTTTTTTTTTTTGTACGGGGATCAAACTTGGGACCTTGCGCTTGTGAGGCAGGTGGTGGAACACTGAGCTAAATCCATGGCCCTAGGAATTTATTTCTGATGTTATCTTTTAGGTTTTGTAAGCAAATATACAGCTGAAGGGAAAATATTGATGTTTATTCCTAAATGTGAAATCCATATTAAGAATTATTTCATTAATATTTTATGTTCATGTTAACTAAACATTGTGTAATAGAATCTCCTGATAAAACAGCAAGACTAGCAAGATTTCAAGTATGTTCTTACGAAAAGGCCAAGAAAGCAAAACACATGTGCTGTCAGTGTAAGTGACATGTGTGTATGGAACATGCTATTATGTATGATGACTACCTATGGTGTGATAATTGAAGTAAAGATTTTTTTAGGGGGTGGAATCAGGGATTGAACTCCGATCCTTGTGCTGGCAAGGTAGGTGACAGAACCTCGGAGCTAAATCCCTGGCCCAAGTAAAGATCATTTTTGCTGTAGAGTTCTATTGGTATTTTCATTGTAGTTCATATAGGAATTTATTTCCATTGTTATTTTTTAGACTCTGAACACCAAAAAAACAGTTGATGAGGGGGCTGGGGATTTAGCTCAGTGGTTCTGTGGCCTGCCTTGCAAGCGCAAGGACCCGAGTTCAATCCCCGGTAACCACCCCCCAAAAATAAAATAAAAACAGTTGATGAGGGTTGAGGACTTAGCTCAGTGGTTTGGCCACCTGCCTTGCAAGCACAAGGTCCCGAGTTTGATACCCAGTACCAAAACAAAACAAAACAAAACAGGTAATGTTCAAAATTTTGATGCTTTTTTAATAATCACTCAATAAATATTAAAAGTTCAATGCTTTATTTTTAAAATATTCTTCCTATAAGTACTCATTGTTTAAAATAATACTCATTAAAATTAATAGAAATAGTCTAAAGAATAAATATGGGTACTATATGAGCAACTAGAAGACTGTGAGTGAGTGACTGGGTGGGGGTCGCAGAAATCGGGGCTGCCTAGAGGGCCAGAGCCTGGACATGTAGCAGCACAAGACCCCAGATGTGCCAGGTACCATCCAAGGCACAGAGGCACAGGGTGCACTCTGGGCCATGGGCGGCAGTGGCTGGTGTGCATGTGCTGTTCTGTGCTTCACCACAGTGCCTCAAGTGTGGGTATTATGTACCCATAACAGTGTGCCTTTATGACAAATTTATGCCCCTTAAAGGAGTATAAAGGGAAGGATCAAGTAGGAAGGGTTGGGATTCATGGAACATCAGCTGTAATTTGAGACTGTAACCTGGTGGAGAAAAAATGTACGACATGTTAAAGATGGACATGTGAGAAGGTGAATTTTTACTGGCTGCCCTGTTAAATTACACTTTGATTTAGATCAAACATGATTTTGACAGGTTTATCGTGATAGTTATTATCAGGTATTTACTTGCTTTGACTGCACATGTATATCAGGTGCTTATGCACAGGAACCATTCCTCATAGCTTCTCAGCTCTGTTTATCTTTTCTAGGGCTGACACATGTGAATCCTTCATGGCACTTAAGTTTTTTATATCCCTGCTTATAGCCCCTCGTTGCCAGTACTATTCTACTTGGTCTTATGTAATCCCATGTTGGAGGTGAATATTAAGATTCAGTGTTATAGCCCCTTTTAATTACATTTGAGGAAAAATGAGGTTTACAAGGAATAGCTCTTAGGTTAAATTTATTTTATTTTTTCCTTATTGAGTTTAGTGGTACATTTTAGGTATACAGTACAGTTACATTCATTATTGGGATCTTGTACCTTCACATGACAGGTCTTGGTTCTCACTTTTTCCCCTTGTCCCTGCTCTCCCTTCACCCCCTCCTCCCCTCCCCATCTACAAACACTTTATTTCCATCTTTTCATTTTCTCCTATTTTTTTCTTTTCTCTTATTACCTTTCCCCTACCCTTCCCACTTTCCCTACGCCTTTAGCCCTTTTCTTCCTATTTCACATTGTCAATTATCTCATTAGGATCTTATGTACTGTTATAGTTTTTCACACCAGAGAAACTATTCAGTATTTACACATGTGTTCCAAATGAATTTTTGGATTATTTTTTCTAGGTCTGTGAAATGTAGTGTTGGAATTTCAATTGGCATTGCATTGAATCTGTATAGCATTTTTAATAATATGGCCATTTTCACTTTGTGTGATTCTTCCTACCCAGGAGCAGGAGATATCTTTCCATTTTCTTATATTGTCTTCATTCTCCTTTTTCAGAGTGCTGTAGTTTTCAGTGTAGAGGTCTTTTGCTTCTTTCATTAGATTTATTCCTAGATACTTCATTGTTTTGGATGCTATTGTGAAAGGAATTGTTTCCCTAATTTCTCTCTCTGTGAGTCTGTTATTTGTGTACAAGAAGGCTATTGATTTTTGAGTGTTGATCTTGTATCCTGCTACTCTGCTAAAAGTGTCAGTTAAGTCTAGAAGTCTTTTGTTGGAGGTTTTGGGGTCTTCAATGTAGAGTATCATATCGTCAGCAAATAATGACAGTTTAACTTCTTCCTTTTCTATCTTTATTGCTTTAATTTCTTTCTCTTGTCTAATTGCTGTGGCTAATGTTTCCAGAACTATATCAAAGAGGAGCTTATGTTAAATTTACATAGAGTTCATTAAGTTTATTTTTATCTGTTCTTAACTAGGTGTAGTGGCACAGACCTATATTCTCATTACATGGGCTCTGTGGCTGGAAGATCATCATGAGTTCGAGGCCAGCCTGAACTATGTAGTGAGACCCTGTCTTTTAAAAAAAAAAAAGGCATGGGGCTGGGGATTCAGCTCAGTGGTTCTGCTACACAAGTTTGATCCCCGATACCAAAAAAAAAAGCACTGTATTTGTTCTATAGGTGGTGCTTAACATCTCAAGTCGCCATATTATATCTCTGTGGTAGGAGTTGTACTTTCATAAAAATTTGAGGAGACAGTGGCTTTAAAAGGAAAATATAAAACAAAACCAAACAGAGCAAAATAAATTTAATTTATTTAATACTTATGGCTCCCAAAACATATAAATTTTATGAGACTCACTGAGAGAGAAATCGGTCAATCAGTTCCTTTCACAATATCATCCAGAAAATTAAAATACCTAGGAAACAACAAAAGAAATAAAAGACCTCTACTCTGTAAACTATAACACTCTGAAAAAAGAGATTGAAGAGAATATCAGAAAATGGAAAGACATCCCTTGCTCCTGGGTAGAAAGGGAAAATGGCCATGCTTCCAAAACTACTATATAGATTCGGTGCAATCCCAATTGAAATTCCAGCAGCATACTTCACAGACCTTGAGAATACAATCCAAAAATTTATTTGGAATAAAAAGATACATAGAATAGCAAAAACAATTTTAGGAAATAAAGGGAAGGTGTGGGGCATCATAATCCGTAATTTGAAACTATACTACAAACTTCTGTGATAAAAACAGCATGGTACTGGCAAAGAAACAGACCTGAGGATCAGTGGAATAGATTAGATGTTTACTCCAGACATACTCAGCTACCTCATTTTTGACAAAGGAGCCAAACCCCTTCACTGGGGG